GGGAGCTGGAGAGGAGGAATGGGCATTTCAGAGCGCCACGGCTGGTTGGCCGAAGAGGTCCGGATACCGCAGTGGTTCAGGCAGAACTCCTGCGTCCACCCTCCAGACCTGCTGGGTGGGAGTTCTGGTGTGACTGAGCTAAGCTCCCTCGCTGTCTGGTGGAGCTCATCTGCTTGGGCCCAGAGTCCTCATGGACACTGGCCTTGGGACATGCGGACCAGGACTCGCTCGTACTCGACCAACCCAGAGGACGGGTAGAGCTTCTTCTCATCTGGCTTGGCCTATCGAATACAGATGTGCCCTGAGGGAAGGAGATGGTGACTGATTAAATGCAGCTAAAAAGCTCAGGCTGCCAGAGATTTTCCTGGAACCCCTTGGAGTCGGAGGCCTGGAAACACCAGAGATTTCAGTGTGACCGGGTCACAAGGCATTTTAGATAAATAAAACCGAACCGATTGTACAAAAGCTATTTTTGCAAAATGAAATCTGTTTCAGAAAACTGGGACTTCACTTGCTGCTTGTTTCTTGGCAGCGGAACACTAACGCCTGTGATGTGCTGCCACTCATTTCTGGCAAGCACTAAGTATGTGGTTTATAATCTGCGTTCATACATAATCAGTTTCGACTTGTTTCTATAGATGCTGAATGTAAAATATTTGGATCAAACAGATTGCATTATCTTACATAACGTGTTCTCTTCCATATACGCAATGCCACATTTTTCCTCCCCTCCCTTTCCCAGTTATATCAGTTGATCCTGTGATGGGGAGCTTATTACAGCTATGGATTGTGCTGTGGAACAGAGCTTCTAAACATAGAGGAGACCCATCAGTGGAACAACTGCCTTGTGGGTGGCATTCAGGCAGAGCAGCATATGCATTCTTTCTAATTTTCTTTGCTCTAAGGAAAGCTTTCACGCATCCTGCGATGTATTTTCCCTCCATCTCCTCGCCCCTGCTGGTTTCCTCTTTGTCACCTATATTTGTTAAAGTGTTCTATATATTACGGCCCAAATCTTGTTTCTGCTTACTTTTTGCTTGTCCTTTCCTAGGGCAACTTGCATGAGCTTCACTGGAACTTTCTTTGTATTACAATAAGAACTTGCGGATTTGATTCTGTCAGGAAGGTCTCTCTGCCTTTTTTTGCACGCTTGTACTGATTTCACTGGAAATAGTGTCTTTCGTGCTTTCTGCCAGCTTCTCCTGTCTTACCAGCACAGTTAACTAAGCATCTCACAGTCAGTGATGGAATTATTTAAAGGGCCGAGAGAAATAACAGCACAGCCTTATCCTCCTGTTAAATCTAAATGAACTGCAACCTGTGCAAGCGTGATGTCTTGTCAAAGGGCACACAGAAAAGTAGTGACAGCCGAAAATTTAAAAGCTATCGTTAATCCTAGTCCCTTTCCTTGGATACAATGGGTGTCTTACAAATGCTCCATTTTTTAAGGGAGACGACTTTAATTGTTGTGATTCTGTCCTACCCCATTACACACCTCGATAATGACCTGGAAGATTTCTCTAGTAAATAGAACTGCAGTTTTAGGGGATTTCTTCGTTAATTGCAGCATGATTTTAAGTGAAGTTGGTTTAATTGAGCAAAGTAGACTTAACATAACAGTATTTCCATTGGGTCATCTTAGTGCTGAGGCTTTGCTGCTGCTTTGCACTGTCTGCTCTGTCTGAAACATTTTACTTGAATCCAGCTCTTGGACTCACGGAGGCATATTGTGTTATTTAGCTCTGAACTATCTGTTACCACAGTGCTGCTTCTGTTGTGGATATAAAATCTGCCTCCACATGGTATCTCAGCTAAATGCTGCATTTTACACATTTTAATTTCAGACCTCCTTTATGACAAACTTTTCCATCAATAAACTAACCCCTTTCACCACTTCAGATCATGCTATCAGCCTTTTACCTTTTTGTTTTCAGAGAGAAAATCAAGAAAGGTCTTAAGGATTTAGAGGAGGTAAAACCAGCAGGTGACACATACATACATGAAGGATTAAAACAGGTAGGCTCTACTCATCTTCCTGCAATCAAAATACCCTTTGTTCTCACCCTTTGAATAGCAGCAACCTGTAACGTAAGTGGATTGATTGTACGGCTCAGTCTGTTACACTCGAATCTTTTTGGTTTCCTAAGTGGTCCCAAGATTGCCCAGATACTATGCAAATCCCATGCAGAAGATAAGCCATCTTAGAAAACCGCCATACGGAATTTCTCTGACTTGATCCTTTGCAGTAGAGAGTTCTTTGTCGTGAGTTGAATGGCTAACGCAGCATACCAATTGTTACATGGTAAATAGTCACACACGGCTTTGTAGGGCTGGGAGCGTAACGGTGCCTTCTAGAGCACGTGACTGTGGAGAGTTCACTGCGCAGATCAGCATTTTCAAGGCAAATGGTCTGTATTGGGAACTATCTTAATTATGGAGCTCCGAACTGCTTATATTTTCTTGAAACATACACTTAAAGGATGCTTTACCATTTCGCTTTAGGTCTCAGGACCTGAAGGTGAGGGATGAGGTGCGGAACTAAGTTTTCACTGGTACAAATAGAAACTAATTTTCTTCCTTTATGCCTGTGCAGCCAAGTTTGTAATTCTAGTCTGCGGACTGAAAAGCTAGGCAAACACAAGTTTGTTGCCACTTAAAAAAAACCAACTAGTTTTAAGTCATTCTTATATCTTGGAACCTACTGACTGGCATTTGAAATCTGGGGGTAGCAAAGGAAATCTTGCGGTGAATCTAAAGAAAAGTGAGTGTCACAACTCACAGGGTGTCCCTCTTGAAATAATGAAGTGTTTCCGAGGGTCCATCAGTAGCGAACCCAGCACTGCGGAGATGGGCTCACCGCTGACTGGAAAACACCGAGGAATGACTTCCTTGTTAGTAATGAGTGAAGGCAGACAGAGGATTGTCACAAGAAATGGGTTCAAAGATGAGGCTCAGTGTTGTTTCAGACGCTGTTTGCTTAGAAGATGCATCCTTTTGAAAAGTTCAGGTGTAATTTTAAGCTGGATAAATGTTTTCCTTTTTCAGGCCAATGTGCAAATTGCGAAGCAAGGAGCCTCAAGGTTTTCTAGTATCATCATTGCATTGACAGATGGCAAGCTAGATGGTCAGATTCCCCTGTATGCAGAGAAAGAGGTGAGTGCCAGGTGAAAATGCATGTTTTATTCTGAAGAGTTTGCGTGTTGTCTGTTGAATGAAAAAAAAAACAACTAACGCTTATTCCTCTGTTCTTTTCAGGCCAAGAAATCCAGAGAGCTGGGAGCTAGAGTTTACTGCGTTGGTGTCCTTGATTTTGTACAAGAACAGGTAAGAACACTGTCTTTTTAGATTACTAGGCAGTACCTTCTCACAGGGTTTTATCCAGTTAATAACAGATAAAGCAATTTTACTTCCATCAGGCAGTATAATGTCTTGTCTCGCTCAGGAAGCAGACACTCAGATGCATACACGGACATGGACAAAGTGCGTGGGTGTCACCCTTGCCAACCGGTAGCTGCCAGCAGGAAGGGATGCAGGCAAAACCCCTTTCGTTCAGATGGTGACCAGAGTAGGCTAAGATCACACGAACGGGGTAGCTCTGGACAAACTTCAAGCAGCATGTGTAACAGCCTTGGGATAAGAAAAAGAAAGAAGGGTCCGTGTCTCTCCTGGACTGAAAGCACTTCCAGAGCTGCAGTGTCCTAATCAAGGCTGTAGCTGCTCTTGTGCCACACCAGTGGCTTTAAATGGAGAAGTACACGGAGGACTCTCTAGTAGAGGACGCACATAGACAGGCTTTTAGTGGAAAGTAGAGCCAACAGGGAACATGATTCTGGAAAGAGTTGTGAAAGCACTGCCAAGATACAGGCCCTAAAAGGTTTCTTTAGCGTGGTGGTTTGACACGATAGCTGGCCACCTCACCGTTTTGTTAGCTGCAGGAGGTTGTGGAAGTCCTCCTATTTAGAAGAGACAGCTAGATGCGAGGAAACTAAAAATTTTCCTTCTCTTGGCAGAGTTGATGTGAGCTGTTTTTAGACATCCATTTACATTTTAAGGCTGAAAAGCAGCGTGACCAGTTTAGTTTGCCAAATGATTCACGTGTTTGCACGTGTTTTTTCTCCAAAGCTTGAAAAAATTGCTGACACGAAAGAGCAAGTCTTCCCTGTCACTGGAGGATTCCAAGCACTTAAGGGGATCATCAATTCTGTGAGTATCAGGCAACAAGCTTAACATTTCCGCAAGACTGCAGCATATTCTCCACTCCCACTTGCTTTTTCAGGCAGAATTGTGAATCAGTGATTCCAATAGATGAAGTTCTCTCCTCCTTATCTTAGAGATGCAGTTGAGCTAAACTAACGTTGCCTGCCACTCCTGCAATTATTCACGCTCAGACCTCGAAGGGAGCTTGAGGACTTTGTATGTGTGATGAGTTTGAGGGGCTGGCATTGAGGAATGGCTGCTATAGGTTTAGTATGAAGAAATCGAGACTTGCTCCAAGAGAGTTGGGAACAACTGGTTAAAATCATTAAGAATGAGTGAAATTTATGAATTGCCTATATTCCTATGCGGAGAGCATTCTAAATACGTACTTTAGCCTTGACTTTAACCACTTGTTTTCCCAGTAAGGGATAAGACTTTTAAGTTCCTTTTCTTCAGCGTGCCATGAGAAACTCCCATCAGTAAGATGGTGCCGTTCAGCCGATGACTCTGCTTTGCAAAAAGAGATCAAAGCAAGAGGAACATTTTGGTTGTGATCATGACTGGACAGTATTTCACCTGTGTGTCGAGATGACACCTTTGGTTGAGGGGACCTAATTTATTTGCCTCATCTTGAGCTAAAGGCCCTGTGCTTTATGCGAGGTTAAGAGTACTGCTGCAGCACGTAAGCAGCACAAGGGAAAAAGGCTTGCTGTTAAAAGTCAAAAGTGATAATGAAATCCTTTTTCTGAGAGAGATCCCACTATAATTCACTTCCCTTTCCTCTTGTTTTAAATAAAGGATACTGCTCACATACAGGATATTATGCAGTCGTGAATTTATGACTTCCCTTGAATACTGCGGTTTTTGTGGAAGTTAATGTCATAATGAAACAACTTTTCTTTCTCGCTGCTTAAAATAAATGTAGTTTCAGAAGCTTTCTTGCACATTCTAAAGAAATATAATCAACGTTTTCATGCAGTGACATTTATCTTCCTGAAGAGATAGTACACCCCATGTGGTGCTCCTTTTTTAAAATCTCGTTCTATGCCATTTTTAAGACTTAAAAGAATGGGCTATTCTGCTAGTGCAAAGTGATGCAACACTGAAGCCACTAGTGACAGGCTTATAAATAAGAGCTGAGTGTTTCACCCCAATTGATTACGCCAAGTTTCTGAGGATACTACATTTCACAATGTCCCTGTTGAGACAGAGCTAAGGGAATAAAGCCGTTGGCATTCAGAGTTTCCCCTCTGACAGGGGTCACTGACCTGCGCGTTGGCCCCTTCGAGCAGTCGGGTTTCTCCGCTCTTCTTGCTCTGCGAGGAGGCAGCAGGAGGACGATGGCTTGAGATTTCTGAGGAGCTCAGCTTGAGGAGCCTGCAATTCAAACACGGAGAAGGGTTGGCACACGTCGTATGCTGTCCTCTTATCTGCTGCTCTCAGCCAAGGCATTTGGGCAGTCTCTGGCTAGGACGGTGCCAGTTTGCCTCTTTTATACAACCCAGGAGCGTTCGAGCTCCTTCACGTTTTTGTGGACAGAGCAAGGGAAACTTTTCTGATGAGATTTGGCAGATGGTGTTTGCACAAACCTCAATCCAGCCTCTTCTGGCACTTGTGAAAAGCCTGCGTGTAAAAATCCCAGATTTGTGCGCATCGCAGCTGTAGAGCAAGAAGAGATGCACAATGACAGCAGCTTGTTTTAAGGTAACATCTTAGCACAGACAGGAACTGTGCACAAAAAGCAAGCTTCAAGTGCACTATTGTATGGCTTAAATGCACTGTCTGCTCCTTTAAACTATGACAACTCCAGAATTGTTTAGGGTTTTGTTTAACAGACTGCAGCTGGAATAGGCATTTCAACCCTTGGCTTACTGCATATTTCTGTCCATAAAAAGACTCTTACGCCGTGGCTGTCTGGGCTGTGAAAACGTTTTTGCTGATAAAGGAGTGCGAGAAAGCCTTTCTGATAGGAAGCATATCAACTAGCTTCAGTCTTACCTGCGTCAGTCTCATCTGTCAGGATAAAGGATCAAACAAAACCCGTTAGTGCTGGTGATGCGAGAGCTCCTGAGAGCTTTTAGAGGCTTGGATATTGTTTGCAGCTTCCTGAAAAGCACTGAAGAGCTGCAGTTTCATTAGCTGTCCAGACATTCAAAACTCTCCTTTTCTCTTCTCTAGTAACCACGTTAAACATATTTGTTGGAATCAGTGAGAGAACGACACCTGCCAGCATTCTTTTTATACCACAGAGTGTGGATACAAGTATCTACAAGTAGAGGGTTTATTTATTTATTTATTTATTTGATGCATGTGTGGTGGCTATATTAACATGATTTTTTGGTACGCTGCATTTATAACTCAGTTTTCTTTGAGTTTGGACTGTAACAGTTCACTCTCACTGCATTATAAAATTGATAGGCAGCTCTAATCGAACATGACAGGTTTCCTTTTTACTCACAATTATAAACCCATTTCAGTTTGCAAGTTAGCTAGGTAGTACAGGCTTAGAGAGACACTGTCATAAATGGGAAAGCTAATTTCAAAACAGATGAAAATGAAATGGCCACATCACATGCATGCAGAAGTATTGCTTAAAGTGTGGTGTCAAGGGTGCCGTTGTGAAACCCTCTGTGAACATCGTTGAACACTTCTTGTTTAGAAAAGAAGACACTGTTTACAGAAACGACAGACAGAGCAATTAAAGCCCTCAAACAAAACTCCAGCTCTAACCTGTTCAGTAGCAGCGCTGGGAGGACCTGCTCAAAGCCTCTGCTACACTTCTCTGCTGGTGCCTTGTTATACTTGCAGCAAATTCCGGTGTTGCCGCACAGTTCAGCTTCATCTGTTGGTGGAAAAAAGTGCTCAGCTTTATCATAGAATAGCTGCTAGTACTTACTTCTGCAGTTGGTTGAGGTCTAAACTATTATTCCTTTTGGACAAGATACACAGAATACGATTACCATTCAAGACAGCTGGAGATTAGCATTTAGAGAAAAGCTAGCTCAGATGCTGAAAAGCTTGCATTGTGCTTTGACCATCTTCTTACTTCAGATAAAATGCCAAAGACGTTAGTAAGGATTTAAGCACCACTACACTGTGTTGTGTTGAATAATATCAACTAATGTTGAGAAAGGGTGTGGGCTTCTGAAGAGGCCACTGCTCTGTGAAGTTTCCAGCTCTTCTGGCATGGCTAATATCTAACTTTACAGAGCAGTAACTAAATGGCATTGTCAGAGTAAATAAATCTAAGCAGAAGTCTAGAGCTTAACAGCAAAGTGCTGTAGGCAAGTTATTACGCTATCAGGAACACTTTACTGCTGTAGTTTGGCTGATAATTACACGGAGCATGGCCGCATGAGCAAGCCATAGCAGTGTGAACTGGAAGGGGTTTGCATGCACAATTCACGTCACCATGTGACAGTTCAGTGCTATGTGAGAAAAGGAAACACCTTCTTTTTCCCTTCTTTTCCTATGCACGACTTAGTTAATTCTTTTAACCCCATTTGATAAAGAACCACTTGGGAATTTCTCATTTACATTGTTAGATCCGAGTCCACCTTTTATAACCGAAATAGCGTTTTTTTTCCCTGCAATTCTTTCATGTTTTGCCTGCTTTCGTGGCACGTTTCTGTGCACGTGGTTTGCACAGCTCAGCAAATCTGAATCGCTTTTGTGCGCCACATTCTGAAAAACAAAACGAGTGGAAGATCCCTCCCCTTCCCCTTTCGCATAGGCAAACACAAGTCCTACTGATTTGTGCGTGGAAGCTGTCTGGTTGTCTCTGCAGGCAGAATTGGGCAAGGCTCGTGCCTTTAAAAGTTACGTTAACAGAACTCACTTTAATAACTATTCGTGTGTGTGACAGTTAGGTAGAGTTACACACGATTTTACACTGAAGTGAGTTGGCAGCACTTAATACAGGAAGTTAAAATTTATTTTGTAGTTAAGGAAGCCTACAAAAACTTATCAGATAAGACTGGAGGAACTGATATCTGCAGAACTTAATAGGAAGTGGTCAGTTTAAAAATGAAAAGTTCAGTCCAGAATTGGTTTGTTGTTAACTGTTACAAAATTTCTTAAGAATTCTACCAAAGGAGGATTAGAAATAGAATTGTTGAGCTCTGGTTTTGCTTATTCGTTTTGCAGACACTAAATTCTCAATTGGTCATTCTATGTGGGGAAAACCACCCTTAAACATACTGGGCAAAAAGAGCTGGTCAAGGCATGTAAGCTGAGCAGCTGCATCTCCTACAAAATTTCACGTTGTACTTCTGAAGCAAAACCGTCTCAAAGTTGGCCGAGCCCTTCAGGGGAAAAACACAGCTCTCAGCATAAAGTTGCGAGTTCGTCCAAAAGAAGTTGCACAACTTCATAGATACTATTGCAACAAAGCGAGAGACTTGTTCTTTTCTCAGACCGAGCTTTTTTTTGGTGAAAAAGCCATTAGGGTTAGGGTTAGGTACCTCACCCCACGTGATTAGATTTCTGTATATCTACTCACATACCCACCTCTCGGTGAAGGTGTAACCTCGGCGTTTGTAAGATGCAAACTCCAAGGCTGCAGTTACTGAGAACCATAAAATGAGCGTACCTAGGAACAGAGAAGTTGAACAGAGGATGAAATGCATCCGGGATCCTTTAAAGGAGTCTATTTGTAACGTACCCAGTGGCAGAGTCTTGCTGAAGCGATACAAGCAGGTAGCGCTATTAAAATCTCACTGCCTAATGGTAAAAATTCTGTCCAGTAAAACTTGTTGATGACAGAGGGAGGTTTGCTCCAATTGTAAAGAACAGCCAGCAAAATCCCTCTAGAATTCAGATTCATTTGAGCAAGTGAAGGATCTCTACTGGATACCCACGTCAGGGGGTTCCTGTGTCAGTCACTGTGCGCGACCACGCTGTCCTACCTGTAATCGGCAGGTCAGTGGGGCGCAAACGGAAGCACTGACACGAGAGCAGGGAGGCAGAGAGATAAACGACTCGTGTTGGACAGCGAGTTGCTGCCA